ATGAGTGGCATTCTTGAAAATTGCTGCTGTCATTCTCTATGGTGAACTGAAACGTTTTAAACCCGATACGTTTCAACATTTGAGCTATTTTCCTCCTAATGTCCCTGGATCCTCTGAATTATAAGATTGTTGACGAGTCGAAATACAAATATTTCATTAAGTGTGGCAAAGTTGCTTTAGCTGTAGTACACTGCAGTTTGAGTAGCTGGTGTTATACTATTTTAATTAAAGGGCCCATATCATGGAAAACCATTCATTTTCCATGCGTTTTTGTAATAAAAGAGTTTGACGTCATATGTAAACGGTTTTAAAGTTTCAAAACATATCGTTCACTCTCAGTCTACGAAGTCCATGTATGGAAATTAAGCTGCAAAACCAGCCCATTTTGAATTCATTATTCTGTGTTGTCATGAAAAACCAAATGATTGACGTGTATCTGCCTATTCAGCCTACAGGATTTTAGCTCCACCCATTCACGCTACAGGGAGGGTTTCAGCCCAGACAGCTTTGTGAATCAGACATGATACAGGGCGGCCAGTCAGATCAGAGATCATTTACATGTATCAGTCTTAAAGGCACAGTAACAAAATTAGCCTGTTTAATAGTGAGAGGATGGAAAATGGTCATGTAAATTAATCTGAAGACTGATTTTGGTACATAACACCACAAAGATCTCATCAGTGGACCTCAGGAGGACAAATCAAATTCCAGGAAACTGCACAGGACAAACATATCAGCTTTGGAACAACAGTGACAACAGTGATTCACAAAAACACCATTCAGAAGAACACTTAGACATACAGTCCATAATATGGGCAGCGCCAACTACAGAATGGCACACAACTACTATTGAGGTCTACTGAGTTACAATACAGGGCAGCCAATTAGAACAAAGGTCATTTACATACATCAGTCTTAAACGCACAGTAGCAAAAACAGCCTGTGTCATTCTAAGAGTAAAGAGAGGTTGGAAAATAGTGATGTAGAAATAAATCATCACTGTTTTTGGTATATAAACATACAGAAAATGTCAAAAGTGGACAAAAAATAAATAGATTATGAGAAAAATATAGGAAATGAGCTCCTTCCCCATCATGTGATATTTTGAGCTATTCTGTCATTTTGAACACTCCTCACCTCCAGTTGAGACATGTGGTATCTAGATTTCCTGTTTCTCCTCTTCTGTGCTGAATTTTCATCAGTTTGTTTCTTCTAATGAGCACAACTGTTTGCCCCTCGTTTATCCTTCTCTTAGTCTTACTCACACACATGCACAGTTGCTCTCTCGCGTTCGCACATGGCATTTATGAATCACGCAAACACACAAGATGAAAAGAGAACGAGTAACTGCACTCCCTTCATCATGCGGCCGGTTTCAGTGTGCTGGGTTGTTTCCTAGGTTACCCTGCCTTATTCACATAACCTTTCGTGTAGATAAAAGCATCCTGTAATCTTAAATCTCTCGCAGTTTTTCTCCTTTTCTGCTGATCTCCTCCATGGCACTGTGCTAATTTCATGCTACGCTGCTCAATAAAGCGCTAACAGTAGAGCAGAGACGTTTCTAATTTCTGTAAAGCCTGCCCTCTGTTACTGGCTGTAGGATTTATACTCGAGTTGAATGCTCAGGTCACTGCACTCGCATCTACATTTCATTAAATCCATGTATTTTGCAATTTGAGTAGTTGACTGTGATTTCAGATTTGTGAAGTACTGTTAATAAAAGCACCGCGACCCTGAAGGATAAGCGGTTTAGATGGTGTGTGTGTGTGTGTGTGTGTTAATAAAAGCATTTCATAAAAAGCTTCATAATTGGCCTTAATTTTAAATGCATTATTTCTGTCATTGAGTGCGTTTATGTGCACTCAATAATCCGATCATAACCGGATTTCTACAGTAATCTGATTATTCAAGTTATTCAAGAGTAAGGACTAGAAATCTAATTAAGAAATCCGATAAAGAGCTGGATTTTAGCTCAGTAGTCAGATTTCTCAGTGCATGTAAACTCTTACTCTGATTTCTTTCCCATTTCTCAGTCTGCGCTTGTGCGAAAACAGACGCCGGTACCAGAAATAAGCAAGTAACGTTGCCACGAGACGCAGCAAAACACTTCTAGATGTTCATATTTTCAGGTAAAGCGGCGCAATGATTTTTAAAAAAGGCTGCGGCATGAAGTTTGAGTTTTACCACAAACCACGATTACTGGCCGACTCATGTGGACCCGGACATTTCTCATTATCTCATTACTCAAGTGCATGTAAACACATTGATTGTATTACTGACAAAATCTGATTTTATGCAGTTATTGGATTATTACGTGCATGTAAATTCACTCATTGTTATTGTATATACTATATATTACTGGTATTACTGGACAAATCCCGTCAAAAATGAGAAGAAAAACACCTTTACGGTAATACTAATTTCTCCTAGCGCTCAAATGGGATTTCTAAGTATGTTAGCGCTGAGCTAATGTTGATGCACAGCAATATTTCTTGGCCGTTCAAGACATTTGAAACTTTGAAAAATACATTCCATATGTTTTATTTGAAGCTTATAACAGATATTAACACATATATTATTAACACATATTTTTCCTGGTATGTTTATCCTACCTTTATCCTAGAGCTGGTCCCGCTTTGGCTGAAATCTGGTTAGACTACAGGTCATATTCACAGACAGTGGCATATCTAGAACTGCCAGAAGGAGAGCAATGTTTTCCTCATGCAATTGCCCCACCCCCATTGCAAATCAGAACGTGATTGGTTGATTCCTCTGTCACTTCCTGACTTTGTTGGTTGTTTATACAGCTCCAGTTCAGCTCCTGAAGTTGTAACCAATTGGAGAGCTCACATGACTGGATCTAAATGAAAAAAAATCCTGATTTTCCATTGGCCATTTGAAGTTTTTAAACATTTTGTTTCCAACCAACACTTAACAATGAAGTACGAGTATTACTACAATACTTTCAATACAACAAGCAGGATTATTCTAAATTAAGTCAAAATGCTTGTCTTTTTTAAGTCATTAGGCCTTCTGAGAATGTTCCTGAGGGTTCCGATCTGCTTTTAATCTCTCTGAGATTAAAATCCAAGACTTGATTTTATTCTCATTTACTCTTGACTGGACTGGACTTTAATGTGTACTCTTTTTTTTTTAGTCTTGCCCTCTATTAGAGGTCCCTCTGTTAGTGTTATTTCTGTTACTCTGCTGGATGGAGTGGATGAAATAGTGTTTAATGGTGGGTGTCTATTTACCGATATTTAACACCTCTGGCAGGATTTTTTCCTCCCCTTTTTCGCACAACCATTGGACAGTAACAACTTGTCGGGAGATTTAATGCCCCCACTTAAAGTTTAAATCAACAAGATTGATCTTGCCTTTCAAAGCCACTCGGCAGCTTGATTACTGATGGCTCTCTGCGGGATTGGCGATGTTTGGAGAATAATTTGAATAGGTGGGGGTGGGAGACTCCTTTTAGAGCTCATCAATAAAGCAAGCTGTTATACACACACATAAAAACATACAAACATACAAAAAACAAACGCTGCTGTAAGGGAATTAGGCCTCTGTATGCAGTGCAGAGTGTGCGCCTCACATGGCATGGCGATGCATCAGCAGGGGGTAGTTGGACAGTTCTTTTTCATGATTGCAGAATGATTTTAATGCAATTGCAAGCAAACTGCTACCACTGTACACTCACACAGAGAGTGTTACGGTTAGAACGGAGGCTCTGTTATGAAACAAACAGTTGTGCAGTTACGTAGCAGACTGTTTGAAACAGTATTACAATTAATCAGGTTATTCATTTTTCAGTGTAAGTATTTAGTATTAAATGGATCATGAGAAGCAGAAAATGCAGTAACACTGACGTGGTGGTGGTGTGTTGGTGTGTTGGTGTGTTGCGCTGATGCGAGTGGATCAGTCACAGCAGTGCTGCTGGAGTTTTTAAACACTGTGTCCACTCACTGTCCACTCCATTAGACACTCCTACCTTGTCAGTCCACCTTGTAGATGTAAAGTCAGAGACGATAGCTCATCTGCTGCTGCACAGTTTGCGTTGGTCATCCTCTAGTCCTTCATCAGTGGTCACAGGACGCTGTTGGCTGGATATTTTTGGTTGGTGGACTATTCTCAGTCCAGCAGTGACACAGGTGTTAAAAAACTCCAGCAGCACTGCTGTGTCTGATCCACTCAGACCAGCACAACACACACTAACACACCACCACGTCAGTGTTACTGCAGTGCTGAGAATGATCCACCACCCAAATAGTACCTGCTCTGTGAGGGTCCATGGGGGTCCTGACCACTGAAGAACAAGGTAAAAGGGGGCTAACAAAGTATGCAGAGAAACAGATGGACTACAGTCTGTAACTGTAGAACTACAAAGTGCACCTATATAGTAAGTGGAGCTGATAAAATGGACAATGAGTGTAGAAACAAGGAGGTGGTCATAATGTTATGCCTGATCGGTGTATATATATATATATATATATATATATATATATATATATATATATATATAAAGTAGACTTCTGTGTAATTCTGTGTAATTTTTTTGTTAAATACATATTTCTGCTTTTTGACTCTGAAAAAACATAGTGGTCATATTAACTGGAAATTAAATAAATGTGAGGGTAATTTCTGACTTTTGCACAGTACTATAAATATATCCACATATTAATAACCATAAAACATTATGAAACAATAATACGGACATGAAGACACAGTACATACTAAATATATACAAACATACTTGTATATGAGGCAATAAAAACATTCATGTTTATTAGTTAGCTGTGGTGCCAAGCCAAAAAAGGTGCAGCTAAAACTGTACTGACACACAGCTCCTGCTCGGCCTCTTAATGATATGCTAATAACCAAATAATCTCGTTTCAGGGAACACAAATGTAGCATATGAACCACTGGACCCGTCCAGAATACTTCCTACATGCTGTGAATGCTGAGCAGGGCTAGAGATTTGATTTCCTTTTCCTTCTCAGGTTAACCAGGACAATGTGGTGAAGGTGGGCCACAAACAGGTGGTTAATATGATTCGACATGGGGGAAATCGTCTAATCATCAAAGTGGTGACAGTCAGCAGGAATCTGGACCCCGATGATAAGTCTCGAAAGAAAGGTAACTTCATTATGTGGCTCAGATACTTCAATTAACAAATCTTAACCCTGCTCTCATATTAAAAATCATTGCTTTTCCATGATGCTTACTGTAAAACTAAACTACAGTGTTACTAACATTACTACTAATCTGTAAGTACAGTAATTTCCCATGGGCTGGTTCTCTTTGCCCAAAGGCACACAATCCTTTCAAATTCATTTAATGCAGTTTGGGACTCTAAGTGCCTCTGTGCAACAGAGAATTCGAGCTCATGGCTAAGCTAAGCTAAGTGCATTATTTGCTCTGTATTTGCTGCTGTAGCTCCTCCGCCACCCAGGAGAGCTCCTTCCACTGCTCTCTCCACGCGCTCCAAATCCATGACATCAGAACTGGAAGACATGGGTAAGAATCATACACCGACACAACGCGCTTGAAATGGTAACTTAAATAAAAAGGAAAAGAAAGGTTCTTAACCCTCTATTGCATGAATTATTACTTAAACATGACAAAAATGTTTTAATGTGTTTTTGTTATTTAAAATTGCTTAAATAATGAAAATATTTGAAAATGGGTGAGGTATTTAGTAAATTGTTGCCATATGGCAACACTGTGCAATCGTACCGTGCGCCATAAAATCGACCAAGTATTTACAAATTTTGGGAATTAATACAACTTCAATTGGTAATTCCTGGTAATGTGATGTTATTGGCGATAACACACTCCTCGAGTGTTCTATACAACAGTTAAATAAATAAAGTAAGAAATTAATAAACTGGGCCGTTTAATATGTTGTAACGTTCGCAGTTCCTTCACCAAATTATAGTTCCTTAACAAGCAGCTTTGTTGCTGCGTCAGAGTAACGAACTCCGCTCACTCGCTGCACAGTCTGCTGTAAGCCTCGCCTTTCGAAGTACGGACTGAGCCATAAAACTGCCACAATATCAAGTTTAGCTCAGTTTTGTCATTTTTTGCCAGATCAGTATTAATGTTGTTTTGTTCCAGCCAGTCTGTAAAGCATCTTACAGCTCATTTAGTTTGGCGAATGGTGTTGGGTTCATTTCTGGCTGATTCCAGGTTGTTTAACTGTTCTTCTGTCACAGCTGCTGAAAAGCTGCTCAGTGGTGACGACAGTTTGGGAATTTAGTGTCGTCTCATCTTCAGAGTCTGACCAAATCGGCTGTCGGTCAAATGTGATCTTAAAAGTATCCATTTTCCATTTGCTTAGCAATGGCATGTCAGTGGAGTGATACAGTGTTCGTGATGTTATGGCGAAAAAAACAACACGGTTATAACGCCTCTCAACCAACCAGCTTGCGTGGCCGGAACTAACTGTTGTATAACATAAAGTATTTGTCCTTTTAAAGTAAAAGACCCTTTTCCACAATTAAATAGGAAAACACAGATCTTATATTACTGCTTTTTTATTAAAATTGAGAAGTTTTTGTTGCCATATGGCAGCACCATGCAATAGAGGTTTAACTACAGAGCCCTGCTGTTGTAGGTAATGCGTGGCCACGACTTAGTAAGGTATGGGAATGAAATTATTAAGCCATGACCACAGCTTAGTAAGGCATGATCTTCTTCTCACGTCTTACTAAGGGGTGGCCACGACTTAATTATCTTGTTTCCATGCCTTACTAAGTCGTAGCCACACATTAGGACCTCGTTCCCACACATTAATACGGTGTGGCCGTGCATTATTTTTATTTATACAACAGTTACTTCCAGCCACGCAACAAAGCTGCTTGTTAAGGAACTATAATTTGGTGAAGGAACTGCGAACGTTAAAACATATTAAACGCCGCGTTCACGGCCCAGTTTATTAACTTATTACTTTCTTTAAGTACTTCTCTTTATTTAACTGTTGTATAAAAGCAATAGAACACTCGAGGAGCCAATAACATCACAGCTGTGATGATCTACGGTGACCAAATCACAGCCGTGATGTTATTTCGCAATAACACACTCCCTCTGTGTTCTATTGCTTAATTGTACAGGATGTCACCAGCAGGGCTCTGTACTAAACTTTAATGTGTACTGAAGAAAAAATATAAGTGCAGCTGCTCACATTTTGAAGTAGTACGATAAAAAAAATCAATTTTCAAAGGGTTTCACAAATAAAAGAGTAAAAACTGTTACGAGGCTTTGATACGACTGTGACGATATATATTTTCTTGAATTGTCCTGCATTTTACTGTTCACATAGAGGTGTTTCAGCTGGCCAGTATTGTGCTCCTGTTCACTCCCATTATAAAACTAGCATGTTGAATCTCTGAGACCGAAGCCCTACAATGAACTTGCTGTCCACCAGCTGTACATTTTAACTTATTTTAAGGGTGTAGCGATTCACAAAATTCACATTTCGTTTCGATATCTCTTTTTTCAATACAGCGAAATTAATGAGTACCTGAGCTTATGTTGATATGTTAACCCCATAAATGTCCAGGGGCCACCAGCAGGCCCAAAGTTTGATTACACTCTTCTATAACCTAAGAATAGCTCAGTCAGTTTGCATTGAAGCCCCTGTAGTTACTGAATAATAAAGTCCCTGTAGTTGTTGAATAATAAAACTCCCTGTAGTTACTGAATAACAGCGGTCAGTGAAAGTCTGTGAAGATTTTAATTTTCCAGACTTTTGCCGTAAACCGAATGTTGACGTTTTCGGGAGCCATAGATGCATTGTTGTCCAGACGAACCAAATTATTGTACAAAAAAATAAAATCAAATAAAAGGATGAGAAACCTTCTGCCCTTTTCCGTCTTAAATAAACAACCGACACAGCTAAAGCTCTTCGGCTAATCCTCCATTTCACCGATGGCAGTGTTTTCATGGCCGTCATTGGTGGCGTAATGTTATGAGGCATGGAACAAGACAGTTGAATAGAATTGCACAGCCTGATTCATTCAGACTGGTTTCTTATCAGCATAGTAACACCAAACAAAAGCTTTGCTGAGGGCCTTGATCGAACACACTGGCCACGATACAACTCAACAATATAGAACAGTACAATACAGTACCATATGCGATATTGTTAGACCCCTAGTTGATTTTGTTCAGATCCACTTACGCTAATCTTCTGCATAACTGTAATGAGACGTAGTGTAGATCGGCAACATCTCTTAAAAACCATGCTGCTTCTCATTCTGTGTCCTTTGCTGTTGCCTCTGGTTTGTGTTGTCAGTGCATTGAAATAATGAAATATTAAATATGTTAATTTATTTTTTCCCTTCTGTTCCCCTTTACTTTGACTGAAAAAGTGGATAAAGGTATGAAGTCCTTCTTGCTCTTATAATCACCTAGCATGCTCCTACCTTTGTTGAGTGTATGTATGTGTGTATGTGTGTGTGTGTGTGTGTGTGTGTGTGTGTGTGGTAGTCTGAGAATTAGGGTGTTTGTGGTCTGTATTTGGTCGTGTGTAGTGCATTTATCTGAAATAGTCTGTATTGTCTTACTGGGTCACATGATCTTTTCCAAAAGACGACCGTCTTACAGTCAGTGAAAGCTTAGAGCTGCGGTTTGGTGTCAAATGCCACGACTGAGGGCGGAAAAGCGCAGCGCTGTATTTATAGCAAGAAAGCTCTCCAATTTCACCTGAGCTGACCCAGGCTGAAAGCATTTGTCCTGTGATCTCTATTAGTTAGAAAGTATCAGTGACACCACAGTTAGTTTCTATGATCCTAATTATCTATGATTAAATCTTTCTGTGGAACAGACACACTTATCACTGATGTATCATAAGTATTGCCGTCACGATTATTCAATTAAAATCGACTTGTTGATTATTTTACGGTTTAAAAGACAGTCAGGATCTCCGCAGCTTGTTATGAAGTCGAGTTTAGCAGCCTGAATATTCTCCACCAGGGGGCGCTGTAAGCACTCAAGTCACTTTTGCAAGCATTACTGAAAAAGAAGAAACCCACACCAGCAGGATCCCTACATATCTACATATGTTTGTCGTAACAAATTTCATGTATATGAAGTAAAATTAAACATTTGTAGATGCAAATTGTTTGAATATGAAGTTAAATGAAATGTTTGCTCCTCTATTAATATTCAGTCTGAATTTATCAATTTGATTTGCTTCAAACCTGAATAAAGAAAATTCCACCAGGATGACTGGTACAAGCTTCAAATGCTTCAAATGTCTGTGCTTAAGTAGAGCTGGATGTTAAATCACATGTGGCAGGTGAAAGTACACTCCCGTTAGCTTACAGAATAACAGAAGATTGAAATTCTCCTATGTGTGCTAGCAGAAATGAGCTTCCTCAGAGGGGTGGTACTCCGTCTACTTATAAAGTGAAGATTTCAGAAGTAAACATTACTGTATAATGATAAATAGCCATGGCAAGTTACTGAAATAATTGGCCGAAAGCAACATTAAAGATTAGCAGATAATTCATTATTACTGGTTCTCCACAGGTCAATATAAAGCCACGTTCAGCAGTCTGAACATTTTCCACAAGGTTGCTTTTGTTAGCATCTTTAGAAGAGAGGAAATCCACACCAGCAGGATCTCACTAATGCATGCATGTTTGTAGTTACAAATTCCATGTATATATGTGTGTATAAATATATATATATATATATATATATATATATATATATATATATATATATATATATATATATATATATGAAGTAAACTTGATGAAATGTAATATTAAACTAAATTTAATTAAAAATAAAAATTAAATTAAAAGTTGAAACTAAAATTTAATGTTTTGGTGCTGTAAGAATATTCAGTCTAATAATAATAAATGCAACATACAAAGTAAACAGTATGCCACTTGTATGTCTGTTACAAGCTTCAAATGCTTCAAATGTCCCTGCTAAAACCGATTTATCTTGATGCTAATATAATTTAGAAATTCCCTTACAGGTGCTAGCAGAAATTAACCTTATCATATGTGTGATTTGCAGGCTTCTTATAAAGTGAAGATTTCAGCAGTAAACCCTGCTGTATAGTGATATGTATATAAACAGACTGGCTAAAAGCAGCATTAACATTACAATAAGATTAAAATGACCTGAAGAAGAGTCAAAATAATCTCTAGATGACCTGATTACTAATATAATTAATACTGACAGCCCTAGTCAGAAGAATTAAATGAAGAAACGTGTACAGTATATTGATTAAGTTGCTTCAAACGTTTTAAACTAATATGTGATTTGTTCCCCGTGTCCTATTGTTGCTAATTCTGTCTCGTCTCCTTGTGTAAAATAGACTGTTGCATGGATTAACAGTGTACTGTGTGATATGGCATTACATTTTACCCAGGTCAATGCCATGGCGAGGAACACAAAGTGCTTTCCTCTGCTTTGATTCCCCGTTCTTTTATGTAAATGATGTGTGAATATTCATTCATGAATAAACCTGAGTATTCTTTTATGTTAAAGCCACTTTGAGGAAAAAGAAGGGTGAGTTTCAATGGCCATGTTTCATTAAACACACACACACTTGGTGTAATTATAAGCAATGTAGGCACCGAGTATTTAGGCAAGCTGTTTTTGACATATTGAATGTGCAATATGATGTACATGAAATGCAATTTGTATATCGCTGTTGTCGGAAGAAAACCTTGTATCTCCAAAATGGTAACTTTACAGAGAAGGAAAAAACCTTCTTTACTTTTAATGTAAGTCAATGGAACCAGACTCTCTCCCAAGTCGTTTTGGGCCGTTTTTATTGGTCCATTCTTCATGAAATTTCCACACAAAGTAAGGGGTAAAATGTATTTTCAAATTATGTCAAAAACTGAAAAACGTCAAAAATGGAGATACGAGGTTTTCTTCCAACAACAGCGATATACGTTATATTTTCTTATATCAGACTTCTCATTAGAACAGAAGGGCCGTTCACAGTCGATAAGGATTTGTTTAAATAATGTTCTGCAGACCTGAATCTTTATTCTCAAGCCACATAATTCAAGTGCAATGTGAAAATGCATTATTCATAAGCCTGTCCTCTATTAAAAAGGGTTATGCAAGAAAATGCAAGCTCCATGAATCCCCCCCCCTCAGTGAATCAGCCTCAGCCAAAAAACCCTTGGCCATATTTGTGGTTCCCTCTCATATCCCATCAGATTTGAACTGTTATAGCCTTAACAGTACACATTTTCCTGGTAAGCACTGGCATGTGCTTTCTAGCTAGCCATCGTCATGCGAGGGCCTCTGCAATGAAGTGTTGTCATGGAAATAATGCTGCATATGTCTAATATAGCAACATTCCACCTGCAAAATGTAATGCCATATTTTCAGTGCAAAGCTGCTGGCACTTGTTCTAACACCCGTGAGCGTTAGGACAGGCAAGCCACAAAAATTTAGACTTCTTCTTTTTTAAATCAGACTCTCATGAGCTGTATAGATGGTTCTCTATCTTTATACGCCGACAGAGCAGCAGCAGCAGCGGCGACAGGCGTCCTGGTGTCATGTGTGTATATCGTATAAAACCACAGCTTGCACACTTGAACGTAGACATTTTATTTAAACAAGTCTCAAAATGTTCCTTTCACTCCTCCATATATGAAAGCTCAACAGCCCATTTTAAGTTCAGTTTTTTTTTTGTGATGTCATGAAAATCAATGCACTTACATATATCCACCTCTTCAGCCTACAGCAGTTTAAAAGTAATAAGGAGTGATGTAGCCTAGAATGGCTTTTGAATGTGTCACAATGCAGGGCAGTCGATCAAAACAGAGCTCTTATATATATATATATATATATATATATATATATGTATGTGTGTCTAAAAGGCACAGTAACTGAAAAGGCATGTTTAATTCTAAGTGTGTAAGCGGATCTGACCTGCTAAGAAATGTGTCAACTCCACTGTGTCATGCTAAAATCTCAGATTTAGTACTTTTATAATGCTCTAATAAGCTGTAAATGAAAACATTAACATAACATTTGAGGGTCCATATCATGGGAAACTGAACTTTCCTCACTTATTTTGAAATATAAGAGTTTGATGTAGTATATAAACATTGTTTAATTGAATTTACCATTCACTTCTCAGTCCATATATGACGTATATGGCGTCTAAGCTGAAAAAATACCCTATTTTAAAGTCACTGTTTCTATAATGTCTTAAGCAACACCGTATGTAGATATAACCACATATACATACTACATCAGTTCAGCTCCACCCATTCACACTGAAGTTATGAGTGTTTCAGCCTGCACTGCTTTTTTAATGAGGCACGATACAGGCCAGCCAATCAGAACAGAGCTCATCTGCATGTATCAGTCTTAAAGGCACAGCAACAGAAAAGTCCTATTTAATACTAAGGGATAAATAGAGGTTGGAAAATGGTCATGGCAAAAAAAGAATTATGACAATTTTTAAAACGTAAACTGATACAAATGTCATGGGAAAAATATAGGATGCAATAATGTAGGATATAGGGACTTAAAGCAAGCAGACAAGTTAATCACAATTAGAATGACCCTGTTTTTGAGCACAATGCAGACATATTCCAGCTTTTCCTGCTTTGCTGTTGTCTATGTTCAGTTGTGTGCTGAATTTAAAACAGACGGACATTTGCAGAGTGGTCAGTTTTGACTCGTTTCTGCTAAGATCAGCCCTTCTTGCTTCAGAGGTATAAAGGGATTTGAATGGTGAATGTTTACAGACTTGTGATGCTAAGAAGAGAGAGAGGTGTGTGTGTGTGTGTGTGTGTGTGTGTGTGTGCGTGTGCGAGCATGTCTAACCAGATGCAGTCTTAACAAATGTGATGGCAGCAAATCAGACACTGAACTTCCCTTTCCTCCGCTCCTGTGTAGATGATCAGCTTTCAGATATTGCGGCTCTGAAGAAGAGGATTGTTTTTCAAGTCACCCTAAGTAATCATTTCCCATGCATGGGAGCTGTCTGAAAATAAACGCTAACGCTAGCATGTTGCACAGTGGCCGCTGAGAAACAGAGCTACTCTAGCAGGATTCCCATGGAATCAGGAAGAGCTTGCACGGCTTTGACCTTGACCAGTGTCAATGTACCTATCTCTGTCTCCTCTTTCTTGCTTGGTTTGGATTTTTTTATTTTATAGATCCTGTGAGAGGATAATGGCTTGATTTTGATACTTGTGGTGCACTGTAGCTTCCTGAAACCTAAAATAAGGACTGTTTTGTCTTGCAGATAAAGTGGAGGAGGTCGTACCTCCTCAGAAGCCCGTTTGGGACAACTCGAATGTGGACGTGAGGGTGGCGGCCGTTAAACCGCGGCCTACCAGCAGGTGTTTCGCCGTGGCCCCAGAAATGAATGTAAGCATGGACCCTTAATATTTAGTGACACTTTACTGTAGGGCTGCATTCATAAGGCTGCATTACACAGAAGCTTGACAATTGACCTAAACCTACATAGGCATTTATAAGAGCTTATTCCAATAGGTATTGTCTGTCATAAAGGCTGTTTTTGTCAACTTTGATGTGAAGCTGTCTGGTGGCACCGATTTTTTCTGACACTGGGTTCTGTCATGACACGTTTTTGGGCAAAATGACAGCACGACTGACTTTGTAGCTTAGTGTATATCACAGTGACATAATGCAGATTTAATAGCTTAAATGGTAAAATGAAACGCACTTTGCCTAAGGGCCACAGAAAATATTAATTTTTTTGTTCGGCCAGTATGACTTGGCAAGCTATGTCGTATTACCTGCATTATGTCACTGTGACATACACTGAGATACAAAGTCTACAAAACCATTTCCCTCCACAATGTGTCATAACAACCTAATGACATAGATGTCAGCCTGACACCAAGCTGGCAAATGCAACCTTTATCAACCTTTATCTACTGGAACAGGTGAAGATGGATCATTCTGCCAAACAGGTTCAAAGTCAGAATAAAAAACACATTTCAGACTTTTATCTGACTTGGACTTTAGACTAAAATCAGATGATCATATATACCATTTTACCACTACCAAAACAATCATAACACTACTGAAACTTTATCAAATGTCTCAGTTTCGGTAGTGATAATTTTAGCTAATTTTGAGCAGAACGTTAGCCAGTGAATGACGAGCAAACACAGCTTAACATGTAAAATCATTGTTTTTCATTCAATCAAAAACATGTTTCAGTAGTGACAATTATAAATGTTCCACACTGATTTTAAGCATTTGGGATACATTTACTTCAAAACAATGGGATCTAACTGCGCACCATGTGGCCATGAGGGACAGGGATGCAGTCGCACTTCTTGCTCTAAAATGCAGGGGTGTGGCTAAAATAAGGCTCCGCCTACAGACTAAAACTCTTTTAGTAGTGACATAAAAACGTGGAACAGCATTTTTATAATATATATACATAAATGATAAATCTAAATCTTTCAACTTGAGTTTAAAAGAAATAAAAAAGATCTTGTAAAAAAAAACAACATTGAAAAAAGTATTTGCACAAGTTGAAATTTAGAGGTTATAGTACGATAAAAAGTACCCTATAAATGACAATTTTGAACATATTTAGCTAATTACTATTTCAATGAATGTTTTGGGTTTACCCAAATCATAACATACTCCTTGTAAATATTTGAGGTATGAATATTTAATTGTTTTTTAAGTAGTTCTTTTACTGTAAAACGCTAAAACGGACCATAAGAATGTTTATGCAGGTGTGTGTTAGTTGTCATGAAGGGCTTATGTAGCCTTATGAACACTGCCCTACAGTAAATTGTCACCTAAAATTCTGTTGTTGAAGACATGATGTTCACTGCTGCTGAATGTCTATGCTAGACTCAGAAATAATGCTCAGTACAGTCACAGACCAATGCTCCCATACAGGAATTTTAAGAAAGAAATATTTCGACTTTTTAAATGTTGTTTTTCAGTTAAAATTAAAAACACAGTCATTGAAACAATCAGCTCTGTTTTAACCCACTGCAGATTATGAAGTCCTTTACCTACACCTTAAACATGAATCTGTGTGGTTGTGCAGTCCCTGTGCAATAGCCAGGACGTATCAGTGGACTCCCCGCCAGTCACAGGAAGTCCTAAAGGCCCTTACCTGGGTGTACCAAAGGGAACCATGCGTCGGCAGACCTCCATAGGCAAGTACTATTTTCTAACACCAGGAGTATAACTGTGCTGTTTTAATCTGTCTCTCATTTTTTCACTATTTTGTGGTATTTTTCTTTTTTGTGTGTGTTTGTATGTATTTTGTACTGACAGGATCCTGCTCTAAGAAGTTATTTTTCATGCTGTATAAATAAATAAACAATGTTATGTCACAGAACACAAAGCATTAGCCTATCAAGAAAAAAAAACTGTTTACCTCTGTTCAGTGGACCCAGTCTGGCCAGCTTTTTGTTTGTTTGTTTTATGTGAAATATTGTGTGTTCATAATACCCAAGTAATTACTTTTTTGCCTTTTTATTAACTGATGTATTTGCTGTTGGACTGATGATCCTCCTGTCATCCAACCACAGGGGTAACGGAAGAAGAAAAGCAGTTTCTCACTCCTCCCATGTTGAAATTTACAAGAAGCCTCTCAATGCCCGATTCATCAGAGGACATTCCGCCCCCACCAGCCATCTCCCCTCCATCTCCACCTCACAACAGTGCTCCTCCACCTGCCGGTAGCGGTTACGGCACAATCCGACCAGGTTTTACCACGCAAAGCCCTGCTGCAAACAGCACGGCCCCAGACAGAGGAGGAGACTCCACCCTGGGTTCAGGGTGGAGAGAACAGGGCATGTATTACAGAGACAGCCCTGAACAGTACGACTCTGAGGGCTGCAACAGCCCAACCGCCCAGCAGAGCCTTCACATGCGCCGGGCCCAGATCCCTGAAAACCCATACTCGGACGTTGGCAAAGTGGGTCACTCAGCCCTGTTTGTGCCAAATAAGCCCGCAAGGAGGAAGGGCATGTTGGTGAAGCAGTCCAATGTAGAGGACAGCCCAGAGAAAACCTGCTCCATCCCCATCCCCACCATCATCATCAAAGAACCCTCCACCAGCAGTAGCGGCAAGAGCAGCCAGGGCAGCAGTATGGAGATCGAGACCAGTACGCCAGAGCACACGGGCCAACTTCGCCCAGAGGACAGCCTCAACACAAGCAGCCCCTTTGTGTCCGCCATGGCCTCTAGCTCAGCCAGGGAGAAGAGGCTGGAGGTGCACAGGAACTCGCCATCTTTCAGATCCACAGACGCTGGTGATGAGGATGTTGCTCCAACGCCGGCCCCACGTTTGCGACACTCCAAGTCCATCGATGAGGGCATGTTCAGCAGTGACGAACGTTTGCGCAGGCTCATGGCGCCTCCTTCGTCCCTGCTCAGCATCCCACGAGGAGGAGGCAATGTGACTGACTTTAACAGCCCAGAGCCCACTATGGTACGGGAGCTTCTGAACACTCGTACAGGGCACAGTCCCATCAGCTTGCCGGCTCACAAGACTTACAGCTCAGGGAGCGGAAACTATGTCCACCCCGTTACTGGGAAACCTCTGGACCCCAATTCCCCATTAGCCTTAGCACTAGCTGCCAGAGACCGGGCCATGAGGGAGCAGTCCCAGCCTCTGCCACTTAAGAGCGACCCATCCAAGCTGGACCTCAACAAGCCACTCTTTATCGACACAAAGCTTCGGCCCAATGTGGAAGTGAGCTTCTCCAGCACTGCCACCATGGGCCGGCCGCGGGGAGGCCTGCGGAGACAGATGACAGAGTCCAAGTATGAGACCGAGTCCAAGTACCAATTGGACCTGGGCAAGCCTGAGAAGAGGGTGGAAGAGAAAAAGAACATGTTGATTGACATTGTGGACACCTCACAGCAAAAGTCAGCAGGGTTACTGATGGTCCACACCACAGATGGGGCCAAATCAGATGAAAACAGTCTGTCCGAGGGGGAGAGAGATGAGGACGCCTGTCCGGACAGCACCCCTGGAGAACTCCGTGATCCCAACCAACCGGCACCTGCTAACCCTGCACCCAGCAAGCCTCTGTCCGCTGCACCACAGGGAAAGACTATCATCACTGTCAGCTCTGTGGACGAACCCGTCAAACTCCCCTTTGGTATCCCTCCACCCCCTCTGGCCTCTGTCGACATTGATGAGGAGTTTGTGTTTGGTGAACCCCTGCCTCCCCCATTAGAGTTTGCCAACAGTTTTGATATCCCCGAAGATCAGTCAGGGACGATCTCCGAGCTGCTGAAACAGAAAGCCAACGGCATGAGGCGACCTTCTCTTGGTCCCTACTACCCCCACTTAACCACTAGCAACTCTGAGATCAAGAGACCGACAGTCCTTACCAACTGCACACCTCCTAGCTTCCCCACAGGGCCTCTTGAACCCTACGAGCCCATTATCGACTCAGGCATTGAGGTGGACAGCCGGAGCAGCGGAGACCCCCAGCTGGAGACCACCAGCACGGTCTCCACTGTGTCCAGCATCTCCACTTTATCATCGGAAGGAGGAGAGACCCTGGACACTTGCACCGTCTATGCAGATGGACAGGCCTTTCTGGTGGACAGGGCGCAGGTCCTGCCCAAGCCGAAGGCTAAGCACACCGTCAACAAGAGCAATGCACTTTATAAGGACACCTTGAACGAGGAGAGCATGGGCTCTTTCAGGGTGCCCTCCTCAGTCCCACCACCGCCCCCAGGAAGCGCCCCGCCAGAGCCTCTGAAAACCCCAACACAAAGAACCTCAAAGCTCTGGGGTGAACCTCTGGATCTGAAGAACCCCCACGGCCCAGAGGCCAAGCCCCAGGGGATGGCCGAAATGAACTCGGTCTTGCAACACGTCAACAAGGACAAAGCACCAAAGCCAGGGGAAGCGTTAGACTCTCCCACAGGATGTAGAACTCATTTCGGAACGAGGTATGTTCACCCCACCACCTGCACCAGCAGCACTCGCCCCAGTAACACAGACATTCATTTAGCCACCCAGATTAGTGTGTGTGCTCTGCCCGGGAAAGAAAGAGTTGCCTAGCAACCTAATAATGAGAACAGCCTTGAGGACGAGATGAGCAACGTCAGTGTGATGAACACAGACCGAACCATAGCAGAGAAAGAGGTGTGTTTGTATGTGTGTTTGGTTGATTTGGAACATTACCCATTTATTACTCAGTCATCACATCATACACAAACTGCCCCCATGAGGCTTTTCAAGAGCCCCCTTACCCAGCAGAGCGAACGTCAGTTTCCTACTGATGACAAAGGCGGACGTGTTTGGAGTCGCATGCAGATCTCCACTGCGCCAATGCGTTTCAGTGTTCTCAGTCTTAAAAAGCAGCACAGCTTGAAATGCGTGCGTTTGTGGTTCGGGTTGGGTACCTATATTGGGCATATCTCCTCAGCGCAGATGCACTGCTGCTGCCTCCTACAGCAGACCTCTCTGAGAGCAGAGACTCATTTATTATGAAAAGCTTTGGTTATTTACAGACCACAGAACTGACCCTAAAATGCCCTGACAGTTCAGGCACATGGCTGTTTATAGAACACGCTGAGGAAGGGGACGTGCAGCGTCTTTCGGTGTGAAAGGAGAGAGATTTTGTGGCTGATAGTCAGTAATGACATGTTGATAATAGCCTACACTGCACATGCTTTGGGTAGTGTTATTTTTGCTGCGTCTTAAAGAATGCAGTGTCAACAGAAACAGGAGATGTCATTTTATTTTCCGAGTAGTACCTCTGCTTCTTGTTTAATTAGAAAGGCAGATTAGTTTTAGTTTGTTGTTTATTGTATGTATTATGTACTATGTGTTGTATGTATGCATGCAACACATCACACAGTGAATGGAGGCGCTTGCTGCCCTGTCAAGCTACAAAATTGGTAGGATGAAAATGACGACGCTATAAAAAGACTATTTGTTATGCAGTGTTGTGATTTGCAGTGTTAAGTAGCAACATGTGAAATTTCCTTGCTTGGTACTTTGGAAACAGTGAATGCAGTATATTTGACAATATTTAGCGCTAGCATAGGAAGAACAGTGTGTTACCATCCCTATACAAACACAGATACCTCTCCCAGGATGTACAAGGAATACTGGATTAGTTTATGGGCTGCTCGGGTTGCTGTAGACATGACATTAGACATGTTGTATGCATTGCTTATTATGTCATTACTGTCCGAACTAAACCTTGTATCTCCCAAATGGTAATTTTTCAAGGGAAGGAAATTATGAACTGTTTTCTTATGTTATAATTAACAGAAATATTAAATTTGAAAAAAAAAGGTGTACTTTGCATTTTGTCGCCATATGGCAATGGCACGTGACAGCTGAACTGCAATATGCAATGCATACAATCGGAGTAAACTTATACCCTGCCTCAGGATAAAGCCATATTGATTATCCAGGCACAAAAAGTGTGCATAACAGACAAATATATATAAATATTTGAGGAGTATAGAAAGAAATGTGAAAATATTTTGTGCTTTTGGTGTGTTTTACACCACTCCAGCCAGCACTTGGCATTGCGTATTTTGATCTTAGGTTTGTCTACAACTGCTCGGCCATGAAAACCTATTTCAGAAAGTCCCGACATGCTGTTTTTTTTTGCTGATGTTGCTTCCTGAGGCGGGTTAGTGACTCTTTAGTAAGAGATTCAACAGAGAATAGGTGCTGCATGCTTCAGCACTCGGTCTCTGAATCTGCGTGGTCTACCACTTCGAGGTCAAGCTGTTTGGGCTTCTAGACCCGTCTATTTCACAATAACAGCACTTACGGTTGACTGGGGCAGATCTAGCAGGACGGAAATTTCACAAACTGACTTGTGTCAAAGGTGTCAGCCTATGACAGAGCCATGTTTAAAGTCACTGTGATTAATTTTAATACAGCTGTCAGCAATGAGTGTGGCTGAAACACCTGAACTCAAAAATTAGGAGGGGTGTCCACATACTACGTATTTCTGGACCGTTCCTATTGGTCCATTTGTCATAACATTTTCACACAATTTAAAGTGCAGCTGCTCTTTCCAAATCTACTGTACTACTGTGCAAATGTTTTAGGCAGTTATTATATTTTATATTAAAAAAAAATACATTTACAAAGCTGTTTATTTGGACAGTAAGTGTTTATGTGGTTAGAAAAAACATTAATATTACAATAAGCAAAATAACATTACTACAGTAGTCCCTCTCTTTGAGGGAGCCTATTATTAGTTGTAGTTACCATCCAGTGCCTGGTTTGGTTAATCAGTACTTCATTATGATAAATGATGAGTTATGCTTTTGGAATTGAATTATTCCATATGATTCCTGGGGCCAGGAGAAATCCAAACTTTGTTTTTCAGATTAGCTCACAAGATATCAACGACTTCTTTTGAAAACAATCATTTCTTGTTACTTTTTATTTGCATTTCTAATGATATATAATGGGTTTTGGAAACACAAGCACACTTACTGTGTTTAATAAATAAATGGTTTTAAACAATGTGCTTTGGTGTCTAAGACTTTTTGCACAGTACTCTATATACAAGGTTTACACCTGACAGTGATCTGAGGGCACAATATAATGTGGCTGTAATGGACTAAGCTGTGGATTTTGACTTTATAAAGAAATACTGGTGGCCCATCTTAAACTAGATGTACTCGAACAGATGAACAGATCAACCAATAAACCAGCAGATGTTGAGCCCTAACAGTGAAAAGCTTCGTTTCACACTATTTAACCTTTAATTATTCGCTCCACTGTAGCTGGAGAACATTCACTTTATGTCTTTATACCAGCATGGAAAAATGTCCATAAGTATCTGGACAGCCCTAATTAGTGAATTCAGCTCCTTTAAGGTGCACTCATTGCTGACACAGGCATTTAATTGCACACACACAGCTTGTATAATCTCCATAGAAAAGGATTGACCAATAGAATTGGACACTCTGGAGCAGCCATACATGAGCATAAGGTCACCACGTCCAGTACCACGTGTGGGCTAGAGCAGTGGCGTTGGGCTGTGGAGCAGTGGAACTGCGTTCTCTGGAGTGATGGAGCTCCATCCAATACATTTGGGATGAGTTGTAGTGATCCAGAGCTGACCATCCAACATCAGTACCTGACCTCACTAATGCTCAATCAAATCCTCACAGCAAAGTTCCAACATCTAGTGTAAAGCCTTCCCAGAAGAGTAGAGACTGTTACTGCAGCAAAGGAGGGCAAACTCGTTATTAATACCCTTAGTTTTAGAAGAAAGAGCAGTTGTCTACAAACTTTTGGACAGTCTATCTCTCTGACTATGTTTTTCACCATTTCTCTCTCTCTCTCTCCCTCTCTCTCTCTCTCTCTCTGCAGAAATCCGGACGCCGTGGTGTCCCTTGTCTCAGGTACCCAGCAGAACACCGCCGTCTCCTTCAGCACCCAGCCCGGCCAGAACGTGCCTGCTTCCCCGTCGCCGTGTCGACAGTCCGAGAGCTTGCCCTCCTCCCCACACCCTTCGCACCCCCCGCAACACCCTCACCATCCGCACCCCCGCGCCCCGAGCCCCATCATGTCCCCCCCAGACTCGGGCCTGAGCTGTGCCTCCTCCTCTTCACTTCCGGCCTCGGCCGCCTCCCCCACCCTGACGGACGTGTTCGGGCTGCCCACGCCGCCCCTCAGCCTGGGCACGGGCCGCAGCCGCTCGCCCTCACCCCTCACCCTCATCCAAGCCGCCTCCAACAAGCCTTTCGCCACCAAGCCCGTGCTGGCCTGGAGCAAGCAGGACGTGGCCGACTGGCTGGAGAGCCTAAACCTGGCCGAGCACAGAGACGCCTTCATGGACAACGACATCGAGGGCAGCCACCTGCCCAGCCTGCAGAAGCAGGATCTCATCGACCTGGGCGTGACGCGCGTCGGCCACAGGATGAACATCGAGCGGGCGCTCAAGCTGCTCCTGGACAGATGAGACTGGGCTTTGCTTCGCCGGTGGACGTCAGCCTTCTTTTGTTCATAAAGCTTTGTTTTTTTTTGTTTGTTCCTCTCTCTTTTTTCTTTTTCATTCACTTATTTTAATAATACCTTGTTCCTCTCATTGCCTGCAGTGGATTTTTTTTTCCAAGGAGAGACATGTCCTGAAGAAAAAATACTCCAGTTTTGACACACAGCGCTAAGACAAGCACAAAAGCTCCTTCGTACCAACAAAAGCCCCAGCCACTAACGGGACACTGTATGGAGTCCATGCGTTTGAGACGACCGTTCATTCTCTCTTTGGCTTTTACTTTCGGGCCTGGCGTGAATGCACTGAAAACCAGCAGAGCTGGCCGACCATTTTCTATCTTTGCTAAGACGACTGATTATCCAGAGAATACTTCTTCAGGAAAAAGGGAAGGTCCGTGTATCAGCTGCCTATGAAATATTGTGCTTTTTTATTATATTTTTTGTTCCTTTTACGCATTCAGTTCGGAAGTAGACGGATCTGTAAGACGTGTGCGGTTGGTGCCATGTCGTTCCTCAGTTCACATCGCTCACGGTCCTGGGACAGACGTGTTCACCAGGTCACTTCTCTGTATGTGCGCACCCGACGCCATGAGAGCGAGCTGCCAGCTTTCATCTCTTTGTCTTTGGTTATGGTTAAAATTAGATATTCGTCTGAATGGGTTAACAAAAAAAAAAAACACAAAGTCTTTCTGAAGTGTAATTTCTACTGATATTTAGTGTCTTCCACATTGTGAGGAGGTCTAACGGCAGTGCTGCCATTCCGTTCGGTTCCTGAACTCCTACTCCTACTAGACTAGACGGCTTTTTTTCCTCCTGTATTTTTAGACCTTATTATCTCCCAGCTGTTTTTTCTTTGTGCCACAGGATTGTGTTCTCAGTATCACGCTAGCTCGACGAATACCTAATTAAAAACGGATGATGAAGATGTTTGGGGGAGATTTAGAGCATTGTGACTGAAAAGTGGAAGAGTTGCCTTTAGAGAAACCTTAAATGTTTCAGTACCAATTATTCAATAACATGACGGAGAGTATTTTTGTCTGCTGTAGGCGCACTATTAATAATTGTCCGTTTTTTTTACTTATTATTTATTACCCATTCAGATTTATCATTTTGATATTTGATTTGACTATTAATGAGCGTATTTTTGTCTGCTGTAGGCGCACTATTATTATTATCATTATTATTATTATTATTATTGCTATTATTATTATTATTATTATTATTTTACAACGTTTATTATTACCCATTCAGATCAATCACTGGAATACTTATTTCAAAGACCAGGACGTTCCACAAAACCTCCACGAACTATACATATCACTGTCTCAAATTGTAAAATGGTCAATTGTTTACTGGACGAGAGTTTGTGAAGCTGAATGAGAGATAGAGGTTCTTCTGTGTTGCTTTGTTTAAACTGTAGACCATCTACCTTGAAGCATGTTTTGAGTTGGATGATGGCAAACTCACCCCTGCTGTGCTGCTTCGTATTCTTACTTATTCTCCACCAAGTGTTTGTGTTAAATGCCCTTCCTGACCCCTGCCCTTCACTCCCGCTGACCCTTACTTCTCTCCAATCGTGGGGAAAGTCACAACCCTTTTTTTTTTTGCCAAGTTGGCCAAATCTAGCTTGAACATTTGCTAATCATTGTTGCGATTTTATATAGCCTAAGAAAAGCTTATCATTTGATAGCGCTATTAATTATTGTTGAATTAGCTTCGGTCTTTGTGTATGAGCTCCATCTGAACACCATGCATACAATTTGTCTTTGTTTTCACTATTTTGCCGTTCACGACCAATGATTTCGGTCTGTCTGTGTCACAGCTATGATCAGACCAGCCAGCAGCTTCATTCTCTTCATCTTTGGTTGCGTTAAGTTCAGAGTACTGTGGTTATGCTTGAACTGAGGGAAAAGTCATAGTAACAGACATGAATGTGAACGGACGGGTCACAGGCGCCCCGACGGTGTTCGGTGTAAGTATGCATTGAAGACGTTCAGCAACGTGTTTGCTTATCTCTACTTTAGAGGAGTTAGAGTTATCAATCATCTCTATATATCTTATTTTAGGAAACAGCACAGTATTTTAAAGATTTATAGAACAATATTTGAGATTTTTATGATCTGTGGTGTGCCAAAAAGAAAAAAAAAAAAGATTTATGTGGTATCGGTTAAGAAGCAATACACAATCTTCAAGAAAACTGTTCGGTCTCTGCCAGTATTCTACGTACAGTATATCGATGATATTTCAATCAAATGGAATTTATATATAGGTCTCAGTGAAATAGAGAATATTTAACTATGAGCTAACGGCTGTCACCTGCTTCTTTTAGATCCTGTAATTAAAAAAACAGAATGAAGTTAAAATTTAGATAACGTGTGGTGTGCATAATTTACAAGACACAGTTGTAAAAGGTGTACACATAAGGCCACTTACACTCTACGAACAGATTCACCTGAGCTCCTGGTGTGAATGTATGATCAACGAAAATATTATTTTTTCCCAAACGGAATTCTGAAAACGAAGTAGTGATGCATCCTAAACTCACTGAGGTTCTCAGCGGGACGTATCCGATTAGATTTGGATATTAGTCTTTATTTTATTATACATAGATGTGTCTCACACTTTGTGTGAAGAATGAATTCACTTGATCTATGTCGCTGTAATTTTGTGCTACAAAAAAATCCTTTTATTTATTTTAGGGTAAATTATTAAGGTCAAAGAGAGACGTTTATGTGACTGCACTTTTCCTCTAAATCCTCAATACTCATGTATGAAAAAACCAAAACTCACAGGAAGAAATAAATATGATATTACACAAACTGGCGTCCGCTTTTATGCAGCATTTCTTTCATAAGCTGGTCGTTTTAGTGGTCAATAACATGAGGGCTGGGTACTGACATTTAACTTTTATGGTACAGACTTCAGTACTAAAAATTCTCACGTTCAATATCAAATTTTATACACACTGTCTTATGTAGGGCTAATTGAATGTTTTGATATTGAAACAACAAAAAGAGGGCAGTTTCCAAATCGCCACAGCTGCAAATTTAATTATACCTAAATTTAAATTATGTATATTAATATTATTCAGCATTGTCTTTACTATAACCACACAGAGCTCTATTCAGCATCCCTTAAGAAGACCAGCATGACGAGTAGGACATTCTGGTCTTTCTGAGGAAAATAAAATAATCACGTTTAAATCAAGATCACAACCCTGATCAGAAAAATTGCATTTTTTTTTCCTAATTGTCTGGCCCTAGTTTTATCAGCCAATGAGCATGCTTGTTCAAAAATCTAGACTGCTGACTGGCCATTTAAATGACATCCGTGTGCATGTTATCGACATCCGTGCTTCTTCATTAAGCTGCAGTCACACTTAGACATGCAGTTCACATCACTTTGTCAAATGGGCCTGACCGAGGCTGGACTGCACAAAAAAAACTTGCTAACGATAAACAAGAAAACAAGACATGCACATAATTATACTGGATTATTATACACTGTCGTAGTGCTGAACACGGATCCTTAGCACAGATAACTGGCGTGATTGGCAGCAATGTGAGTTAGGAGGCAACATAGCTGAGTTAGCAAGCTGACAAACTCACCAACCAAAAAAAGGCAAAAACCCAAAAACCGATGAGTGAGTTTTCATGCACTCAATAATCCGATCATAATCAGATTTCTGCAGTTATCCGATTATTCAAATGGATCATGTAAACACCATACTCCGATCTAGAAATATGATTTTAAAAATCCGATAAAGAGAGCTGGATTTTAGCTCAGTAATCAGATTTCTCACTGCATGTAAACTCTTACTCTAATTTCTGTCGGATTTCTCAGTCTGCACATGCTCGAGATCAGACGGTGGATGTCGTGAGATGCAGCAAAACACTGTTGGAGCGGCGCTGAAACCAAACAGGAAATAAAGGATTTGAATGTTCTTCATCTTCTAGATGATGTATGTTCATAGTTTCAGGTAAAGTGGTGATGTTTTAAAAAAAGCTGCGGTATGAAGTTTGAGTTTTACGTCACGTTTACGTCTCGTCTTCTTCTGTGAGTTTATTGGCTGGTTGTAAAGCAGAAATCCGATTACTGTCTGACTCATGTAGACCCGGAGTTTCCCCATTATCTGATTACTCAAGTGCATGTAAACGAGTAGATCGGATTACTGACAAAATCTGATTTTCTGCAGTTATCAGATTAAAGTGCATGTAAATCAACTCACTGACTTCATGCAGCCTCTGTTTTAAGTGCTTGTTTATCGCCAGTGGGGAAGAAATGTTCAAATTGTCATGCTTAGATTCTGGTTAAATGAGCTGGACCTTGCTGCCATATGAAGCCCCTCAACTTCAAACGTCAACCCAGCCAAAGCAGCAGCATCAATGCTGACTAAAGTTGAGCTTGACAAAAAGTTTTGCTTGCAGAATTTATTTGCCCCAGAAGTCTGCAACAAGAAATCTTCCATCGCAGCCAATTCCACTGAAATAAATGACATTTTTGCTGGTGAAATTTCACTGACGAACACCAGCCTGACTGACTGTCAAGTGCAGTCAGTAACTATACCTACTTCCAGCACCCCACACTCATTTCAAGTTTAAACCACACCCACTGTCGCTTTGTAAATAAACAAACAAAAAAAAGGTATTTAACCAAAAGTATAGTTCAGAAATCAACGTAGTCTATCAGTGCTGTTGTCTAAACATTTGTGAATACCCAGCCCTAGTTATCATTAAGTTACTGTGGCAAAGTTCCTAATAAGGAGAGTTTGGTGCTTTCTAGTCTCCTGACATCAGCAGCTTAAGCTGAGATTAATCACAAACTTGGAAAAGACGGGATGAAACTGTCAGGCCATTTTGTGAGGCACGAAACCAAATGACTGCAAACACAGATGGTGACCTGTTATTTCAACTCGCTTTTGCCTTTTTAAGCATCTGGAAAACCTCAGATTCTTTGAAATTTCTTCACCTGATTGGAAAGTGATGAAATCTGGAGAAGGAGGTCCTTGTTGTTCATGATCTGCACATACTTTAACATTTTGTGTTGTGGACTCATTAATACGAACTGTTCATCTGTTCTCTGCTGCCCTCTAGTGTTCAGTGTGTCTGCTTTCTCCATCCTTTCAGGATTTATGAGCATAGATAACACTTTAAATCACATTTTGTGTTTATTATCAAGAATATTCTCCACCACCCACAATCTTCAAACAAATAAAAAAAAAACACAAACACAATTTCCTACTGTACAAAATCTCCCCTCTTCCCCACATTAGCTGCTCTAACAATGCTGAGCACATACATGTGCCCGTTATCACTCTGCAATACCGCTTCACTGCTTTCGGATGCTTTAGTTGATGGTGAGGACGTCACTCTGGATCTCGTGGCTCAGTTGCGTCTGCAGGTCACTCAGCTTCTTCTTCAGCACAGCGAGCGCCGACATCACTATGTTTTCTGGCCGCAGCGAGCCACAGGACTCCACGTTGAAGTAGAACCTGAGGAGCATCAGCAAACATGAGTGGCAATACTTCTGAAAGGCATCTGCCATTACAAATCTTTAGAGGTAAGAGCAATTTTTAGGCTCTATATAATTTTCAAAATTAAGGTCAAGATTATATTAAATTCTCTTTTTTTTGTTTTCTACAGAGCTTTAAATCCATATGCTGCAAAGCA